GACAGTGCGGCACTCCCTCAGTACTGACCCTCTGACAGTGCGGCACTCCCTCAGCACTGACCCTCTGACAGTGCGGCACTCCCTCAGCACTGACCCTCTGACAGTGCAGCACTCCCTCAGCACTGACCCTCTGACAGTGCAGCACTCCCTCAGCACTGACCCTCTGACAGTGCAGCACTCCCTCAGCACTGACTGTCCAACAGTGCAGCACTCCTTCTGTACTGACTCCCGGACAGTGCAGCTCTGTCTCAGACCTGTACCTTTATGGGTCTGCAGGTTTGCAAGCTGTTAGTAGTGGAATACCACACAGATCAGTGCTGGTGCCTCAATTGTTTATAATCTATATAAATTACAGGGGTGTGGTGGTGGATTGCTGTACAGTAGCTAAGTGTGCCAATGATACTGGGATAGTTAGGAAAATAATGTGCTGGGAGAAGGTAGAGAGTCTGACAATAGAAATAAACATATGCAGTGAATGGGCAGAAAATTGGCAAGTGATTTATAACATGGGTAAATGTGAACCTGTTCATTTTGCAGTAAGGATAGAAGAGTTTGAAGGGATTAGATATGGTGGATAACAGAAGAATATTTCCTGATGTGGGTAAGACTGGAACTGGGGTACACGTTATGAGTAAGGAGTCTCATTTTGAAAGCACAGCAGAGAGAAATATTTTCTCTAAGTTGGGTTAGAGTGTGGAATTCTCTTGCCCAGAAGGTAGTGGAGGTTTAAATTTATCCAAGGCAGAATTTGATAGATTTTTGATAGATAAGGGAGTGCAGGGTTATGGGGTCCGCATAGGAAAATGAAGCTGGTAACACAACCAGATCTTAATCAATGGTGGAGCAGGCCCTAAGGCTGAATAGTCTGCTTGTCTCCTAAGTCTTATGTTGCAGGTGTCTTTTGAAAGGCAGTGCAGCACTCTGTTAATACTGCACTGTGAGTGTCAGCCTCGATTTGACGCTGAAGCCTGTGGAGTGAGATTTGAAAGCACACAACTTGCTGACTCAGAGACGAATGAGTTACCCGCTGCCCAGAGTCTTTGCTTTTATAAGATGACCACAAAAACACTTTCCGATTGCACAATATATAAACAAAGGA